GTGACAACAGATGGATTGCAGGAAAGAGTTCCAATTTCCTTTCTGAGAGTAAAGCAGAGGGAAGAAAAAAATAGATGGATACCGAATAAGGGAAAGGGAAGCGAAGAGATGAAGCACAATGAAGCGCAGAGAAGAGATCGAATCAGAGGCAGAGAGAGCAGCAGCAATAATGAGAACGCATGAAAGTGCAAAGAGGAAGAGGATGGGTGCAAGAGTGAGAGGATGAAGATGGGAAGAGAAAGAGAGAGAGAGAAAGGAAGCCGGTGACTTTTCATCTGTGACTGACGCTTTCCATCTCACTGCATCTCTGCCTCCTTGTCTGCATAAAAAAAAACCTGAAGATGTCTTCTTGAGCATTTGGGATTTTGTGTCAGTGTGAATAGAAATGTATGTGCTTTTTATTTGTTTATCCTATTGTTTCCTATTAAATACTTGCAATTTCTGCGACTGTAGTTGTGTGTGTGTGTATGTGTGTGTGGCTGCACGAGGTTACATGGACTCTCATTCATCATGTTAAAGGGAGCAATGGGGGATGGGACCGTAACTGGACGGCAAAAGTTATTATGCAAAGGCTTGGTTGTAAATCTTTGAGTGTATGTGTGTGTGTGTGCGCTCTACTGTACGCGTGTGGGTGTTTTTTCATCTGTGTGTGCATGTGTGCTCTCATTGTGTTTGTGTGTACGTGCACTACTCCTGAGAGGCTCTCCTCATTAAGCAGCGAGGCGACAGGAGTGCAGAGTGTGTGTTTTCACACACCGCTGCTCCGATACAATGGGAGACACTTTTTTCCCTCCTTCCCTTCCTTCTCTCCCCTTTGTGCTTCCTCCTCTTCCTCCTCCTCCTCTCTTTTTTCCTCTATCTCCCTTTTTGCCCCATTCCTTCTCGAAATCCTTCTCTGCCTCTTCCTTGTTCTCCTCTTCCTCCACCTATGAGCCTCCTCCTCATCCTCACCCTTTCCTCCCGTGTGCAGCTGCAGTGCCGGAGTGTTTGTTGCCTTCGGTAATTGTGAAGAACAGATACACTCTGAAAGTGAAAAATGCTCAACTGCCGCCTGTTAATCCTCATCTAAGCCTCAGCCTTGATAAATGAAGTTTTGTATTTTTGTTTTTGCCATGACGGTAGCCACGGCAACTTGTGCTCCTTTGTGAATGGCGGCGGTTACCTTTACGACTATCGTCACGACAGGATAGAATAGAGTTGAGGGAATAAAGAAAAAGGAACAAGAAGTCGCCTCAATCAGTTCAAGCGAATGTCTTTAACATTCTATCACATCAAGGAGCAGAGAGAGAAAATTATAAAAGTGAGATGGAAGAAAAAGTGAGAGAAGTCAACAGGTAGGCCGATTTGTTTGCGTGTGTGTGGTGGCAGAGGTCATTTCTTTCGGATGGAAGCGCTACGTTGATGAGGCTTCCACTGCGGCCGGACAAAGGACGAGAGTATCGAGCAGCCAGAGTCCGTGGTATTGATTCCAGGTCAAAGTGAGACGGAGGGGAGAGAGGAAGAGGAGGATGAGGAGAGGTTTGCTCCTTTTATTGATTACATACAGTTGAGAAACGTTCCTCTGATGAGGTCAACATTAGTCACATAATCTCCAAATAAAATGTTTCTCTCAAAGAAAATATAATTTGCAATCCAAGCGTTTCTCTTCTTTTAAAAAACACTTTGGACTCAATATAAAAACCTTAATTTAAATATATATTTTTTGCTGTCCAATAAAAATGATGTGCCTCCAAATTTCTCTTTTTTTCTCCACTTTTGTTTTTTCGTACACATAAAAACATTATTATTCTCATTTAGTTTTTATTAAAAGAAGTGCATCATCAAATCCCTGAATACATAAATAACACATGAAACAAGATAAGATAAAGTGAGACATGTGAGCATACAGTATAGACCATTATTCTGCTAAGAGTGAGAACCAAGACTTTCATTTGAAGAAAAGGAGCAAGAGGCGGTCCAGAGAGCGAAATAACAACGCAAGGTAACGAAGGAGCAGCATGGAGGAGGAAGGGACAGAAAATGAGAAGGGGGGAGAGAAAAATTATAAGCAGAGAGGGAGGAGGGTTGAGGAAGGGTAGGTGTGTGTGTGTGTGTGTGTGGGGGGGGGGGGGGGGGGCATTTGAAGATTCATCTCTTGCTGGATAATTCCCAGGAGGATCTCTCTCCAACACTTGAAAGCTGTGAAGTGTGCGGTTCTGCTCATACTCCTCCTGGTAATTGGAAGAGGAGAGGAGGGAGGGAGGGAGGAGAGGGAGAGGAGGGCCAGGTAAAGGAGGGAGCTATGGTGGCAAGAAAAGAAACGGGCAGGAGAGGAAGAGGAGGAGGAGGAGGGTGGCTGAAGGAGGTAAAGATTTAGAGGCAGAGGTAAAACTAACAAGAGGGTTAGAAGAAAGAGAACCTGGCTTATATCTCTTTTATTTTTGCTCATTAGCTCACTCCTTTTTATTCTCTCTCTCTCTTTCTCTTTCGCTGTCCTCACCCCTCCCTCCCTTTGCCGGCGATGGCGTGTCTGTGGTTGCAGGCGGCTTCTGAAACATGGCCGCAGGCGTTTAATCATTGATGGAGTTTTTTTGCCTCCATGCAGGCGGGCCAGCGGGCAGCCCCGGCTCACTCGCATGCGTCAGGACCTGCTGATTCACTCTCTGGGGCCTTCAAGCACACACACACGCACACACACACACACACACACACACACACACACACACACACACACACATGCACGACTACAAAGGCAAACAGGGATGCACACAGACTCAGATAAAATGTAGCCTGAATGTGTGTGTGTGTGTGTGGCTTTCCACATGTGTGCCTGTCTAGTTTATCCCACCAGGGATTGCGAGGCCCAATCAGCAGCGGTGAGCCCGAATAAAAGCAGCGAAGATAAAAAGCAATTTATTTGACCAGAACAAGGAGACAAAAACGTGTTTGCTTTGGCTCCAGGGCTGCACGCCACATATGTTTCTGCAGCTTTACAAAACACGTCCTTCTGCCAGACTCAGCAAACATCTGGCTGTGTTGTTCTTACTGTAAAATAAGTGAATACACTTATATACTGTATGCTCATCCAGTATCATTCGATCTACTGTATGTATGGAGCCAGACTTCTTCAAACAGTTTGCAGATAAGGTTTAGCTCAAATCCCCACAGACAGCTAACCTGATTGCACAGGAGAAATGAAGTAATATTGCATTTTGTTCATTTTGACTAATTCACCTATGATTCGTGCTACTGCTACTTCTGCTATAATAATAATAATAATAACAATCTTCCTCTGGTTCCGATGCAGAATTCAATATCATCCTATCATTTCAGCGATATGATATTAAAAGACCACACTGACTTTCTGATGATTTTTAATAAAGGGGGGAAAAAATTGGCCGGGACTTCTCTGCCTAACCCTCACCAGCACACAGGCCTGATGATGTGCAGGTGTGTTTTTGTTCTATGAAAAAACCTCCAGCAAGATCTCACGTTATAACAGGACAATGAGATTACTGAGAATTATGAGGATTGAAATAATACACTGTGAATTTCAGGTACAACACAGTGTTTGTCCTGACGGTCAAGACAAACCACTCGGTTCATTATTATATAATGCAGTAAATCTGTAGAAGTGGAAATCCTTTTCATTATTACCTCGATAGATACAGTAGTCTCTCCACCTTCATTATCACATATGAAAGTGCACAGCCCAGCAGTAAAGTGCTATGCAGTTGCTTTCTCTCAGTAAAGATGACAGCCTCTTGGGTTTTTGGGGATTTTTTTTTATCTGCTCAGAGCACTCCTGTTGAATTCTGCATGCAGGTACAGCTCCCCCCCCCCCACCTGTCAGTCATCCTGATCAGAGAGTTTTTATTATTATTATATTTCTCAGAGGATTAAAGCCAGACCCATGCGGGGAGGAAACCCAATCTCTCTCACTCCTCCTCCTCTTCTCTTCTCACCCCCTTTCCCCCTCTCTCCCCTTCCGGCCAAACAAAACTCCACCCTGCAATGGATGGATTAAATGACCTCTCTCTGTCTCCCACATGCACGCAGAATCACCTGCAGCACTGTCTGTGTCTGCCTGCCTGCGTCTGCCTTTTTCTTTTTGTCTCTCTGCAGAGCGAATGGCTTTCTGTGCGTGCCATATATGCGTGTGTGTGTGTGTGTGTGTGTGTGTGTGTGTGTGTGTGTGTGTGTGTTAGCGTTAGCGTGAACCTGCATAATCCACTCTATTGTACTCACCGTTGCTCTGTCCTGCATAGTGAGTCACTGGTGAAGGACCCGTCCAGTGCGTTAAAGCGCACATAGAAGATAGTCTGCAGTGGTTATGTGATTGCTTCCATTAAAGTGATTATGCAATCAACAGCAGTAAGACAGGCAGGGAGACAGACAGACAGACAGACAGAGGGATGGGGCAGACGTGGAATGCATACACACACATATGGACACAGCACTCAGGCAGGCAGGGGGAATTTCTCTCTTGTTAATAATCATTATGAAACGGCTTCACGTGGAGCACTTGCCTCTCCGCGCTCAGCAGGATGGCAGGTCCGTCCTTACAAAATCCCTATGCACACACATACACACACAAACACACACACACACACACACACACTCATACTCCCGCCATTCCTCAGTTCCTCCTCCTCCTCATCTCCCTAAAATTATTTACCAGACCCCGGGGGCTTCCAGCAGGCGTCCCTCTCTGTGCCTCCCCCGTCTCCCGTTTCCTGGGTGAGCCGGGGGTTTGGTGCGTCCCAGGCTGTCTCCGGCCTGCACCGGTGCTTGTTTTTAACAAAAGCAAACAGTAGAGAGAGAGATAGACAGAGCGCTGGGCTCAGCTGGCTCGGTGTGCAGTCTGGCAACAGGGACTTATAGTTACAGATCTCTTCTTCTTCTTTGTTTTACATCTCAACATTTTACCTCGTCTCACCCTCCCTTTGCTAAAAACCCATGCAGGAGTAAACTCAACTCTTTCCTTTACCTGCCTCCCTTTTTTCTTTTTCTCCTTGCAGCCAAGAAAGCACCGGACGGCTCAGTGATCGCCAACGGCTACTGCGACTTCTGCCTCGGAGGCTCAAAGAAGACCGGCTGTCCTGAAGACCTTATCTCCTGTGCGGACTGTGGACGCTCAGGTAGGGCACCGCTGAAGGGGATGATTGGCAGGAGGAAGGCGGTCCTCTGTTGATGCACAGTTTTGAAATGTTCCATTTGATGAGCATAGATTTCGTATTTACTATATACATTAATGCAAGTTTCGACTCCTGTTACGCTTCAATGGATGGACCATACCAGTGTTTTTTGTTTTGTTTTGTTTTAGCCCATCTACTACAAATCATGTACAGTCTTATTAATAGACATTTGCTGTTATGTTTTTGATTTGTTTTAGGTGTTTTCTCACCTTCCAGGCAGTTAGTGTTCTTTACATTAGTCACTACAATTTGAAAATCCATTTTGAAAGACTTGAAACTGACCCCAGATTTGTTTTTAACGATGGTGGCCCCCGAAGGACAAAATACATACATAACGCTTCGGGAGGTTCTCTACATAGAAATTGCAAATACAAAAACAAATGGTGAAGTAATTGAAATTGGTAATTGACAAATGTTAGCTAACAATGTAGCATCACCTGAACTTAACACTAACCAGGTATCTGTTCGATTTGAATTAGTAAGTAGAGGCGTTACTTTGGGGACGTATTGTCCTTAGAAGGCCACCGTACATAAAAAAATGAAATTAATTCCTGCTTTTATTTGTGTAACTTATGTTGTAATATTTTTAAGTGCAGGTTAATTTTTAATTAAGTAACCTACATGCATGTTCTCTGCAAGTTGATTTCCCTTCTGTTTGTGAGGGAGTAGAAAACCCTTGGCTGCCTGAAAGGTAGAAAACACATAAAAACTTCGTAAACAATATGACATGCTTTGGAAAACAGTGGCTATAATGTAAAATGTGCTAAAAATCTTCTCTGCAAGAAGAACTTCTTGTTGCTGCTTGAGAGGTGTAAAAGTGCCAGGAACTTAAATGCGCTTCATAACATTATTTTAAACGCATCAACACCTGATAATAAAGTGCTGTTCTTTATGCAATATAATACATTCATCATAAGTGATAACACTATTAACATAGTCGGAGACAGGATTTCGCATTTTATAAAGTTTTGTAGAATACCAAGAATATCAAATAGTTGAAAGACATGAGATGCAATTTTAGCAACAACAAAATTGCATGCAACTCCAAATATATGCAATACATATGATGACAACTGCTCTGCGGTCTGTCAGAAGTGCATAAACACTCTGGCACTTATTTTCATTTAGAGTGGTCTTATTGATCACAGTGTTCTCTAACAAAGATTGGCATTAAAATATGAATGGATACAATGAAATGTAATCTTGACCTTCTTGTCTGACCAAAAAAAAAACACAAAATCTGAATGTTGTCTGCTGCATTCCTTTTTAATCCTGGCTTCTTGTGAAACAACCTCCTTTACAATTGTGATATAAACCCGTTTGTCTATTTCTTCTTTTTGAGACCGTGTCCCATGTGCTGCAAGAGCCCCGCTGAGTTTGTGAGAGAACGGTCTCCATTAGTGTGTATTGTGGTTGTGAAGGGTTAATCTTATCAGAGTAGCGTTCAAGAATGATTTCTTTCTAAAATATGGTTGTGTTATTATTTTCCCATTATAAATCCCTTTGTTTTGGTTTGTGGGATGTGCTTGTATATTTGTATACATGCATAGATTGCAGTGTATATGGTGAAGAATTTGTGAACTTATTACTTGATTGCATGTACTGTATACATATTTTTCTCGACCTGTTTTTTTTTTTCTTCTGAAAAATAAAAAAGCAGAACTGAAAGGATTTACGTGAGTTGTAGTGAATGGGCTGCAGCATGCTAAACAATGGTATGGTCCTCGTCTTTATAAACACGCACAAAGAAGACGACTGGAGCTCGGGAAACGAGGATGACATAACAATGTTTCTATTGTCGTGATCATGTAACAAGCAAGTAGCAGGAACAACTGTCATAACGGGGGTAAGGAGAGGGAGAGAATATATTTTAAATGGCACAGAAGTGGCCTGCAATGGAAAAGGACAAGTCGTTTTCATGTCACATCTGGGATTTTTTTGAAATGACAACACCTTTTTTTAAGTTCTCAAGATGAAATCAAAAGTAAGCTTATGGTAAAAAAAAAATCTGAGATGACTGAAAAAATAAATATGACCAAAATATAAATACAGGGGGAAACAAAATGTCCAAAAATTCTTTCAGCCATCTGACAGAATAGTTTTCACATCTGTAACACACCACTGTTCGCCCCCGTTAAATATAGAAAAATCACATGTATGACAACATGCTGTCAGATAGATAGAATAGGTAGATGATGGATGTCCTCAAAATACAGAAAGCGATGGTGAAAAACGTTGTGTGGGCCTGTGCTTGTGTGTGTGTGTGCGTGTGTGTGTGCGTGTGTGTGTGCGTGTGTGTATGTGCACTCAGGCCACCCGTCCTGTCTGCAGTTCACAGTGAACATGACGGCTGCGGTGAGGACTTATCGCTGGCAGTGCATCGAGTGCAAGTCCTGCAGTCTGTGTGGCACCTCTGAGAACGACGTAGGTTCTCACTTTGTACATACATGTTAACTCTGAACACGTGTGGCTGCACACACACACACACACACTCACACACACACACACTCACACACACACACACACACACACACACATATAATACTGGAAAACCTTTTAACCCACTACTTGAATTTAGGTTTTATACAGTTTTTTATTGGTGGAGCAAGTTTACTTTATTCATCCTTGAAGGAATCCACTTTTTCTAACATTGATCCAGGAGCTAATTTAGATCTGTTGTCTTGCTCACAGACGTGATTACGTGAAGCTTTGACATACAACAGGGAAGAAAAACGATTTACACCCATTGAAAATTTTAAAAGAAACATACATGTCAACCTTTTACATTTTATATTCCCGAAGAGGAAGCAGATATTTGTATTCACACAAACTGTAGTGCAGGCTGTAAAGTCACAGTGCAGGTTATTATTGTTTGTTGCCTTGAGAGAGGAAAGAACTATTTCTATGAAGTGAAGTCTACATAGTTAAGAGTGTTTTTAAATAGATGATTGGATTCTCAGTTTAAAAAATGTATAACACACCTCAACCCTTTAATTTATTAGTATACAAATTCATATCTTCAAGTACTATACACATTCAATTCATGCTCCTGCTCCTCTCAAATCCCACATGATAACATCTGCTTGTGTGAATATTCTCCTCTGTTCCAGGACCAGCTGTTGTTCTGTGACGACTGTGACAGAGGCTACCACATGTACTGTCTGAGCCCTCCCATGTCTGAACCACCAGAGGGTATGTATGAGAAATAAGAGGAGCACGAGCATTGAAAACCAAGAGATACTGTTCAAGGACTCATAAGCCTATATTTGGAAGGACTGCACAGCACAAGGAAGCTCATCCGAGAGCGTTTTTGTTTGTGCAGAATTGTGTAACTGTCTGCAGTGTGGGTGGGGAGACAATCACAGTGAGGAGCGTGAAACTTGCGGTCAAAACGGTCAGACTATCTCCGTGCTGACTTCTAAGTATTGGAAATATATTAAGAAGATAACCCGCAGGACTCATTATGAATCTGCATCTCTTTTCAAGACCGTAACGGTCCCGATAGCGAGGCCATCGTCACAGAAACGGAGCAGGTACATCTGCTCAAATTAAACTCGTTTGCCTGCCGCACAAGACAAGATGGCTGCTTTAGGATGTTTGATGGCGTCGTTGTCATGGAAATGAGTAGTTGAAAAGATAATCTGTTTCCATGGCGAAAGTGTCACTTGGCTGAACATACAGCAGCAGTGGCACTCGTGTTCAACACTCACTAACAGTGTCATGCTCTGCCCACACATGCGACGCTTTCCATTTACAGGAAACCTTTTTTATATTCAGCCGTCGTCGGTTCTTTAAGCTTTACTCTCGAGAGGAGACCTGACGGAGCTCTCGCACGGTAACCGTATGTTTGCGTACATAACGTCTTTAGGCGTAACACAGCGGGGTCCACAGACATTCAGAGCTACACTTTGTGATGTTTAATTAATGTCACAAATCCCGTGCTCAAATCCAAACCAAACTAGTTGTCAAATCCCCTGCAGTCGCAATCCACAGGCACAGCATGTGGTGTTTTAACATGCAGCTTTAATTTACAGTATTACTTAACGCTCTGTCTAAAATGAGGGATTAATCCACACGGCTTCATAATAGCAGTGATTGAACTTCCTGTCTGTGTGTGTGTGTGTGTGTGTGTGTGTTGTACAGGGAGCTGGAGCTGTCATCTGTGTCTGAGACACTTGAAGGAGAAGGCCTCAGCCTACATCACCCTCACTTAATCCGCGGAGCTGCGCCTCATCCTCTCAGCCCTTCATCCTTTCCCAAGCCACCTCTTCGTCACCCCTTCTCTGTGCCTCAGCTGACCCGCCCCATCCCCCCCACCCCTCCTCCTCTTCTGATCTTTCCGTCGCCGCCACTTCCTCCTCCACAAGCCATTCCGGTGACCTCTGACACGACTGAGCACATAGCACCCACAGCGCTGCACCCATTCTTGAACGTCTCTCCAGCCGCAAACCGACCTCCGTCCTTTTTTGTGGTCACGCACACGTGCCCTGATGCTTGACCTGAACGCCCCCCCCCCCCCCCCCCCCCACCCCCCCTCCACCCCTTCTTGAACAGGAATTCATCAGCTGGCAATAAGTTTGCTAGCGAGACACACACTCCAGCCTGCCAAGAGCACTTCAGAGGTATACTGCTCCACGAGAACCCTCTTAAGGGCCCTCGGAAGAGCCCTAATGATCTTCAGCTGCAACTCAGTCAAGTAGTGAGTGAGAATTAATAAGACGGATAGGTGTTAGGCTGAGGACAGGGCTTGGAAGACCCTGGATAAACACAGAGCAGTAGGTTTCAGTGTTAGCCAACTGTGAAATATACACCAAACCAAAATTTCATTTATTCCCTCTGTCCTTTTACCCTGTACAGAGCTGAGACGCTGAACTCTGCTCCACTATTTGTCTGCAGGGCTCGCTGCCCTGTGCAGTTTCAAAAAGGGGGAGTGAACTGTACAGAATTCAGACTGATTCTCTATCCACGCACTCTTCAACAACTTCCCTCCCCTCACTGAGATGCAACAATGAGCATCTGGCCAGGAACTCAGACCATCTTTGACCTCCTTTCTCCTTGCATGGGGTTTCCACAAAAGTAGTGATGTATTTTTTTGGGATCGACGCCGAAAGGTTTTATCGTGTTCGGATGTGATCCTCGGACGAGAGGAGAGAGATGGATTGCTCTCTAATCAGCCGATCAAACAGTGTATTTAAAAATTACAACTTAGGCTTAGCATCGCTCACAAATCCTTTACCTGACCTTTAATCGCCATTCCCGTCTACGAAACAATGACTGTGAAGCCAACGCGAGACTGAAACACTGCTGGTGCGTGGTGCGTATTACCTGTGAGTTAAGAATGTAGGATTGACGTGTGGACAATGCAGAACTTTGTCTGGCCCGTGCTGAGGCCTAAAAAAACCCGTCTTTTTTATGATTCCTTTTTTATTTAATTTGTTGTTTTTTTCATTTGCATGTTGTTGTTTGAATTGTTTTTAAAGACTTTTAATTGAAATGGAAAAGAAAGCACACTTAATTCGCAATAATGTGTTTGTGATATGAACTATTTTGGCCAAACTGGGCGTGTTTTAAACTCTGTGTGTGCCTGTGTGTCTGTTTGTGTGAGTTTATCTGAGCACTACAGTAGCTGTAGCCAGCTCCATGCTAGGTGGTATCTGTGAGAGGATTTGAGTGGCACGAAGGTGATGTGAATGTAAGGAAAGTCAACATTAACCTGTTCAAAGTCATTGTTTTGCAAGTCACAAAGGCTCAAGTCACAAAGGCACTGAAGTCCCGAGTCAAGATCAGCAAGTCTTAAAGACACAGTTTCACCTTTCGGGCAATTATTGCGAAACTCGAAGTGTAAAAAAAAAAGTTATGGTTTTTACAAGGGACTATTTCTTGGCAGTAACTCCAGGAGGTCACTGTGCCCGCCGAGAAATAGTGCCACACGTAACCCCTCGTAAAAAAACATAGCTTGTCACTTTTACCTTTTTGGGTTTTGCACAGATTAAACAAACGGGATATAGAGCAGACACCTTTGCAGGTGCCGGTGGGTTAACTCTGGGTTCCGGTCTTAATGCTGAGCTACGCTAACCGTCTCCTGGTAAAAAAATGAATAAGCATATTTCCCAAAATATCAAACAGAGTCAAGTTTAAATTATGATCTTCTTGTCATTTGCAATTCCATTTAAAATCAATAACCTAATACTAACATATGCATTTACTAACCTCGACCATTACTATATAACATTTAGGACAACACACTGACTATGTCGTGGATAATTGATTTTATGTTAGCAAAGCTTTTTGTTACTGGCTTAAAGTGAGATGGCCTTTTAGGATCAAACACTCAACACTCTTTTAACAGACACTAAACCACTCCCTTAACTTAATCCACTTCTCCGCTGTACATTTAGATCAAAACAGTATCACCAAAAAATGCCTCTTTCCACTGCATGGTGTGGCTCGACTTTCATGTTCTACTCGGGTGATCTGACACTCGCTGAATCTTTTCATCAGCAACCAAACACAGAAACGTCTGCACGTGCGACATAGTTTTGCGACATCCCTTTTTTTTAACGTCGAGTGAATTAAACAAATTGTGGCCGCTATTGACAGTTTAGGCATAAAGAAATGGCGCATTTGTGCAGGATGTCGCAATAGTGACGATTCTCTCTGACCAATCAATGTTCTGCTGTGTTTTAATTCCAACTTCTAGTATCGACTCATCTCGCCCGAAACCTCAACCAAAATGTACCAAAAAAAAAGGCACCAGGTACATGGTTTGAACCACAACCTTTGCTCATGGAAAACCCAAAATGAGCAAGTTGAGTAGAGCTGTGCTTTACCACGCAGTGGAAATATACATGTGCACACTCCAGCGACATACAGAAAGAAGCTTTAGCTTTAATAACATCATAACTTTTAATCTTTGGGCTTGGCGAGGGAACCAAGTATAAGTGGTGTAAAAGTCAAAGTCATGTGGAAAGTTGCATTAACTGTTTCTCGCCACGTGAAACCAGTTTTGTTTCTGTTTTTTTACCTTTGTGTCCTGCAAAACATGAGTTCTGGAGAGAGAAGGTGAGAGTTTTTTGAGTAAAAAAATTTGTGAGTAAAAAAAATCCTTTTTTTTTTCCTTCTTTTAACCCAAAGGCCCATTATGTTATCCTCAACCAGTTTAACTGGACTTCTCAAGGCGACTTTAACGGGCACATTACAAGCTGAAGTGCAAGTGCTGAGTTAGGACGATGTGTTCAACATCTCTGAACGATTTGACAGTATAGAGAAGGCGTCCATCCAACGATGTGTGAACTTTAAGCCTGGAGACAATAGCTGTAAATAGGGGGTTGAATCAAGGGCAACAAATTGCCATTTCATACAGTATTTCATATTCCCGTGAAGGCCTACATATCAAAGTATGGTCAAATTCAGTCGGTTTTGTTTTGATATATATTTTGTTATAATGCTGCATCATGTCTCTGAATGGAAACTCGCAAGATCAGATGGCTCGCGCGAATGTACCTGAACTGTAATTGTGTTTGCCATCTGATACAAAAAAGACATTAGGTGCAAATAACTGTGCTACCCCTCGATTCAATGTGACTCCACTGATGCATGAATGACAACCTGAAATGTTTCTGATTTCATATTTTGATATTGTCAGTATGGCTTTTTTTCTTTTTTTTTAAAGTTATGATGAGAAATAACCTTTAACTTCTGTTGGTCTCCCGTTCGTTTCTTTGTTTGGTTTTGTAATCTGGCTCTTTTCACATTTTGCACAGCATGGCTGCATTTGCTTCCCAAGTGTGTTCATGCCTCTGTGTGTATGTGCGCGACTGTATGTATGTGTGTGTGTGTGTGTGTGTGTGTGTGTGTGTGTGTGTGTGTGTGTTACCACTTTACTGGAAGGTCAGAGAAAAGCAAACCGAACCAAAATAGTGAATTATTATTATTTTTATTATTATTCTGCAGACATTTTCTTCTCAGTGGGACCACTTGCATGTCAAAGCACTGCTGGAGGATCCGGGGGCTGAGTGCAGATGACGACAACAACAGTGTACTTAAGTGTACACATTTCCCACAAGGCACTTGGATAAAGGAGAATGCTGTTTCATTCTACAGCGTGTTAAGTCAGTGTTACATTCGCCAACAACGCCAGTAGTATCCACTCAAAAAATCTTTATTTCTGTTATCCAATCACATCTGGAGTTGAAGTGTGTTTGATGATGAAATGGATGTTGATGATCCTTAATCGATAATAGAAATGTTTGTGTGTTGGATGGACGACGATGATGATGATGATGATGATGTCGATGGTGACTGAAAAGCCTTTATATTGGGAGCTTTCCTGGCACTTAATAGGAGAAGCTTGGTGGAGTCAAACTCATTTTGATTGTACTGTCTGGGGAGGGTGGGGCAGCCATGTTGGGGTTTTGGAAGGGTAGGTGTCAGTGTGATTACTTGTACAAATGGAAAAACCAAGGTGGTGGTGATGATGATGATGGGGGTTCGGGGGTCAAACAAAGCTGCACCAGCAACCTCCAGGCCACAAGTTGACGCCATTACCCCCCCCCCATTTTAGGCAGTTGGGGTGGCTCGGCCGGAGGGTTGAGACTCTAGGCCTCTCTTGTAAATTGTCGTTCCGTGATCTTGCTTGCACTTCTTTTTTTTTTCTCTTTTTTTTCTTTCTTCATTTCCCAAAAATAAGAAACTAATTGTAAGTATGTATGTGTGTGAGTGCGGGTGCACTGTTTATTTTTAATCTACACCTTTTTTCAACGTGATTGTCTGTTGTGACCAACACTGGATAAAGATGAGTTTTTAATTTGTATTTTTTACCTCGAGAGGAAGACGAAATCTTCCTGGACATTTTTTAACCCCCGCTCCCTCCCTCCTTTTCCTCCCTCTCTCTCTCTCTCTCTCTCTCTCTCTCTCTCTCTGTCTGGTATCTGGGAATGCTTTGAAATGTGGACTGTGACCGCATTGCTGTCATCACTGCTGTCAGTCATTCTCTGTGAATTCATCCGACTTTATCAATTATCCCAGTTTTTTCTCTCTTCCCTTGACTCATTTTTTTCCATTAAAAAGATGAGATTGAAAAATGACCTCTACCCCTGTGTTGTCATTGTGTGTGGGTGTGCGTGTGCATTTATTTGCTCTAGTCCCTGTGGTATAAATCACTGAATATTTGTTTTTGGACAGTAGTCTGTCTCCTCGTCTGGGTGTCTATTGTTGCCAACTAGGGCAGCTTAGTCTGTTCAACTTCTTCTTTCTTTCAGGTAGAAGACGTTCTAGCCCACACATTTCTTCCCTTACATGCAGTTTTTTTGTGGGCTTGGAGCACCGACCATTTCTTCCTCTTTTCACAGTACAGATAAAAATCTATCAAAGCCGTGTGTTCAAAGTCAGCAACTGTGAATAACTAATTATCATTTCCAATTTGAACACATTCACTAGAAACCTTCTTTTTTTTGCAGCGCACTCTAAAAATATTCTAACCTTTTCATGAGTTTGAAAAAGGAACAAATTGACTAGGAATTGACAAAAG